ATGAAAAGTATGGCATGATATATGCATTCTCTACACAAGCTACGAAAAAAGGTAAAATAAAGTATTGAGAATAATAGTCCTTGAACTTGAATATATCTCCTCCTTGACTATCACCATCCACAAAATTAGCAAACTACCAAGCACTTACTTTTCCTCCACCAGTTCCAAGGGGTTGATGGATCATCACTCTGGAATTGGGCATGCAGAACCTCTTGCCTTTAGAACCAGATGCGAGAAGAAATGCACCCATAGATGCAGCAAGCCCCAGACAAACAGTGGAAACATCTGCCTTGCACAATTTCATTGCATCATAAATTCCCATTCCTACAAAGCATAAATAGATGAAAAAATAATCAACATAGGATATCTTGTGGTCAGGTAACCCAGGCCTAAATAGGATAAAGCCTTGAACACCAATAACTTAAATTGAGGGTACAAATCCTTTTGAGGAATGTGATTCTATAGATTGAGAAGTCCTTAACTTCATATCCTATTAAACTCATTTGTGCACTCCTTGAAATAATTGTCAATCTAGAGAACCAGGTCATAAAGCTTTGCCAAATCATGTTTCACAAAATCCCTCTATTTACAGGGCACAGGAAGTTAAGTGACTCTTCCATGTGATCATTAAGAACTCTCACATGATACAGACTTCACGAAAGGTGGCAAGAGGATTGAAGTCCTGAAAAATCTTTATATGTATAGGAATTTACAAGTTGGAAAAAGAAAACAGAACTAAACAGATGATGAAGGATAAACTTCAGAGATATCTTTCCACGAAGTGACACTAACTAAGTCCAAAGCCCCTACTAGGATGAAAAATTTTCTTGGAACCATATTTATACAACCCTGGTATTGACTAGACCATCAAAGATTATCAACCTCAATTTAATTAGACCAGGATCCACTCAGTTTTGGCTAGAATGATAGAGATTATTGCTTGAAACCCATTTTTATTTATTTATTTTTTGGTTAATATAAGGAAACATGAATGACAATTTAATCTGTTAGAGCTATTTCAGCTTAGCACCTTAA